ATGCGACAGCGATGCCGCGCACCACCTCGCAGTCCTTCTCGAGCGCCTCCGCGTCGACAGCCTCGCCCATCGCGTTCCGCTCGGCCACGCGGCGCTCCACCTCCGCCTCGACAGCGTACTCGCGCGCCTGCAGCCGGTCGATGATGTCCGCATCGCTGGCGAGCTGGCAGACCCGGTTCAGGGTCGAGCCGCACGCCCCTCCTCCGAAGGGCGGGCTGATCTCCGCCGTAGCCCGTAGGCCCCACCCCCGCCGCCGCCGCCGCGAGGCGAGCGGCCCGCAGCCGCAGATGTTTTCGAGGCCCGATGCGGTGCGGCCATACGCATGGCCCCTCCGCAGATTGGCCGGCGGCCGGAGCGGCCGCCCCGAGGCTGCCGACCGCTCGAGCTGATCGCGGTCCCGTGCGAGGGGAGCCGCGCCTCTTCACGCCTCCCGCCCGTGAGCAGGCTGCCGACCCGCTCGAGTTCATCGCCGTGCTGCCCCTGGAGGACCGCCTCCTCACCATCTCCGCCTCCGGCCGGCTCTGTCTGCACAAGTGGTTCCCGCTCAAGCCGCGCTCGTCGCCCTCCTGCCCCTTCACCTTTGACCCGGCCACGGCGCCGATCGCCACCTTGCGCGCCGGCGCGAGCGCTGACGATGACGCGCGGTTCCGGCCAGCGCGGAGCTACGCGGTTGCCGACGGCGAGCGGCGCTCGTGTCGCCGGCGCTCACCGCACGCGCCGCGGCTCACTGGCCCGCCCCCTCTCCCCTCCGCCAGGCCGCTGGCTCCTCTCGGGCGGACACGCCGACTGCTCCGTCCGCTGCATGCTCGTCCTCAAGCCTGAGGTCGTCGTGCTCGGCCGGCACCACGCGGACACCGTCACGGCGATCCACGTGACCGCCGACGGGCTCTCGTTCGCCACGGGCTCGGCGGACACCACGGCCGTCCTGTGGGCCTTGTACGGGGCGGGCAGCTCCCTCCCGGGCGGCCGCGCCAGCGTCGTCGCCGCCGGCGCCGCCGCCGGTGGAGGTGGCGGCACGGGCGGGAGCTCGGGCGGCGCAGGCGGCACCGGGGGGAGGAGCTGCCGCCGCCGCGACGGGCGGAGGGGCCAGAGGGGAGGAGTCCGACGCGCGGCCGTGTTTTGGGAGAGTAGGATGGCGTGCCCGACGCCGCTGCGCGTCCTCAGCGGCCACCGCGGCCCCCTTCAGTGCCTCTGCCTGTCGACGGAGCTCGGCCTCCTCCTCACCGGAGCGGCGCCGGCGCGCGGCGCCCCGCCCGCCGCCTCTCCCGATGCAGGAAGAGAAGAGGCCGCGTCCGTCACCCTCGGTCCACACGAGTGCGTTGCGGTGTGGGCCGTCCCAAACGGCCGCTTCGTGCGCTCCCTGCCCGTTCACGAGCGTGCTGTCGCCGTCGCCGTTGCACACGCCTCGCAGCGGCTGCTTGTCGCGACGCAGCGTTCCGTGCACGTCTTCTCCGTGAGCGGACGGCCTCTCGCGGTCGTGTCCCCGGACCGTGGCGTGGGCCGCATCGTGCCCACCATCGACGGCGAGCTCGCGCTCCTCTCCGAGGGGTCGGCGCTCGCGGTGCGGCGGATCAGCGACCTGCAGCTGCTGCACCGGTACGACCTGGAGGCTGGCGGCGCCGCCTCCGGTGCGCCCCTGCGCGCCTTCAGCTTGAGCGCGGAGAACCACCACGCGTTTGCGGGCACTGCCGACGGCGGCCTCACAATCTACGCCAACCCGGTCGTCGGCATCCAGGTCCTCGAGCGGCTGGCGTCCGAACTGCTCAACCTGTGACCCAACGCGAGAGGGCCGAAGTTGCACAAAAAGTGTACGTTGTCTTTTTGTCTTGAAGTCTATCTTTGTGGTGACATGCATGAACAGGAACATGTGAAATGACCGAGAGGATCTAAGGTAAGGCAAGGTAAACTTCTCCACACACACGAGGTGGTGGGAAAAGGGGGGGCAACCCTCGCGTCTCCATCGTCCATGTCTAGATGTGATCTCGTCACACGTGGGCGAGAGAGGACGCCCCTAGCTATACTACGTGCTATCTATGGCAAGATCTGCCAAGACTCGAACTCTGGCTCATCATTGCCGAGAAAATGCTCCCGGCTGTCGCCGTCGTCGTACTTCACCGAGTAGCGATGGCGTGCACGGCGGGTGCGCCGCTCGAGCACGGCCCGGTAATTGACGACTTTGCCGGAGAACCACTTTCTCTCCTCGCTCCACCATACGCGGACCCTCTGATGCAGCAGGGACTGCGGCGGCGACGGCACGCTGGCGCAGGGCCCGTCCGAAGACTGCGAGGTCGCGCTGTTCGCCGCAGACGCCACCGCGCCAGCGCTGCTGCCCGCGCCAGAGCTGCTGCCCGCGCCAGTCGCCAGCCTTGGCCGCTTCGCAGGTCGCGCAGGAAGTGAGCTGGCCCGCCGAGGGTCGTGCGCCGGGCAGAGCCACTGCCCTTCGGGCACCTCCCGTAGCGGCGGCGATAGGCACTGCATGTGCCAGCCGGCTTTGCAGCCTCTCCAATCGCAGAGCAGGATATCGTTGCCCTCCTGGTCATCGCCATCGCCGCACCGCGGGCAGAACACCGCGGGAGCGGCCTCTGCGACTGGCGGAGCTGTCCCATAGATGGCAGCGGCACCGGCGGAGCCGGAGGTGGCGGCGGCGGCTGTCACGGTGGCGCTGGGCGGGGAAGGGTCGTGGCGCTGCAGCAGCTCCGTCACCCGGTCCGCACTGAGGAAGCGCGAGAGCTGCTCGCTGCGCGGGTGCGTGAGGACGAGGCGGTCCTTGGCGCGCGTGCACGCCACGTAGAGCAAGCGCCGCTCCTCCTCCTCGTCGGCTTCGGCGAGCGGCATCTGGCCCTCGGTCAAGTTTGCGACGATCACGCACCGCCACTCCCGCCCCTTGGCCGCGTGCATAGTGGTCACCTCGACGCCCCCCCCAGCCCCGCGTCGCTCCTCCTCCTCCGCCACCTACCGGCGAGGGCGTCCGTTAAGCGACGGGTCTCGAGCTCTAGGTCGCTTCTGTTCCCGCTCGCCTCCTCCTCCCTCGCCACCTTCTCCAAGAAGGTGGCGAGGAGCTCCTTCGGCGGCACGTCGCCCTCCGCCTCCCCTTCGTGCTGGCGGAGCTCCTAACGACGGTACATGAAACGGACTCAGAAGAGGGTTGAGGCGTCGGGTTCCGATGCCGTGCCGAGCGCCTTGCAGAGCAGGTTTAGCTGGAACAGGTGCGTCTGGTGGAGCAGCTCCGGCAGCACGTACCGGCCTTGGTTGTCTACGATGGGCTTCCGCTGCTGCGCTTGGTAGACCGCGTTGTGCAGGAGCTCGGACGGCCTCTGCGTCTGGAGCGCTGTCTGAAGCTTGTTCACCTGTGCACGCGCGGAAGAAGGGACTCATGGAGGCGCCGGGAAGGATGAGATTGGGCCTCTCAACGCACCAGCAAGCGAGCGGTACTGATCTCGAGGGCGAGTCCTCCGTCGCCCACCGCGTCCCAGAAAGAGATGCTCCGCGACGACGCCTCTTTCTCCAGGGCAGAGAGGTCGTCCTGTTCTCATCGGCGTCGCGTGAGGGCGACATCACGCAACAGCCGAGAGCGCAGAGCGAGAGAGGGGCTCACCGCCCTCGGTCGGCTGCGGTCGGGCGCAGCGCACAGCACGGCGAGGAAGGCGGCATTGTCGTTCTCGTCGCTGACGAGGCGGAGGAGCGAGAGGAGCGCGGCGCAGCAGGTGCGGGCGCTGGCCTCGGGGGCGGTCAAGCGGGAGACGGGGATGGACTCCTTCTGCAGGTACTCCTCGAGCGATCGGGCGGGCGCGTTGGTGCGGAAGAGGATTGCGATATGGTCGAACGGCGCGCCGTCGGTGTGAAGCGACTGGACCAGCTTCGCAATCAACGCCATCTCCGCGTCAGGCGTCTTGGCGGCGTGCAGCTCGACAGCCTCGCCGCCGTCGCGGTGCGCCTGGGGCAGAGAAGTGAGAGTCGTGGGTGTGGGCCGTGAGCTGGAGCGGGCTCCATCGAGAGCAGCTCACCTTCACCGCCGACTCTTGCGTCGAGCCGAGCACCGCGTCGGCGAACGCAACGATCTCGTGCGTCGAGCGATAGTTGACCCCTGTGCGTGTAGCCGGAGGCGTGAGGAGAGGAGAGCTGAGCGCGCGCGCGGGCTCCTCCCTCTCTCCGGCGACGCGCCCAGCCGCTGAGTGCTCTGCGCCCGCTCCTCGAGCGCCTGCACAGTGCCTGGCGCCGCGCCCCTCCAGCCAAAGATTGCCTGCCGCGGGTCTCCGACGGCGGTGATGCCGACCGGGCTCGAGCCGGCGCGGAGCAGCTCGAGGAGGGCGAGCTGCGCAGCGTCGAGGTCCTGCGCCTCGTCCACCAGCACGTGCCTCACCTCGCTCTGCACCTCCGCCAGCAGGCGGCCGTCGCGCTGCAGAAGCTCCGCCGCCAACCGGAAGACGGCGCCGAGAAGGACCGCGCCCGCCGAAGTGCAGAGGCGGTCAAACATCTCGCGCACGCGCAGCAGCCAATCGTCCGGCGGTATCGTCGCCGGGCGCCGCTCGGCCCTCTGCAGCAAGGCGAGGATGTCCCCATCCTTGACCTGAGGCGGCCTCGGCGCAACCTTCGAGGCGGCCACGACGGTCAGCGCCTTCGCCTCCGCCTCCGGCAGCACCCGCAAAGGCATCCTGCGCCGCAGCAGCGAGAGGGCCCACTTGTGCAGGGTGAGCACCTCGACGCCAGACAGCCGCCTACTCGCACGCCACCAACCGCCTCTCGTGTCTCGCCGCCCGAGGTGCTGCGGCCCGCGACACGGCCGGAGCCACCGCGCGCAGAGGCGCCGGCGCAGCTCCTCGGCCGCCTTGCGCGCAAAGACGAGCAGCATGCAAGAGGTGCCTGCGCTGCAGAGGTGCTCGGCGCGGGCGACCATCGTCTTTGTCTTGCCCGCGCCTGCAGGAGCCCGCACCACGCTCAAGCCCGGGGCGGGCAGTTTGGCGGCGGCAGCCTGCTCCGCGCTCAGCGGCAGCGGCGACAGCGGCGGCAGCGGCGGGTCGGCAGCCGGCGGGTCGTCGTCGTCGCCCTCGCCGTACTTCCAGACGCACAGAAGCGAGCACTCGCCGCACTCGCTGCGGCCGCAGTAGCCACAGCCGCCGCAGGCAGACGACGACGCCGACGCGAGATCGCGCCGGCCGGGCGCCCCAGCGACGCGCGCCTGCACGAGCCCCCCGTTTAGGGCCTTGTTCAACTCCGCTGGGTAGAAGGCGGCCTCGCCCGACATTTTCCCGATCGCAACCTCCTGCGGGCGGGGAGGTCGCGGGAGGTGGGCGGGTGCGGGGAGTGATGTCGGCCGCGGGGGGCCGGCGGATTGCAGCAGAGGGCGGCGGGCGGCGGCGGAGGGCGGCGGAGGGCGGCGGAGGGCGGCGGAGGGCGGCGGAGGGCGGCGGAGGGCGGCGCCTCGTGTTTCGTCTTCCCGCACAGGTGGCAGCCCTTGTCCGGCTGCCACCAGCACTGGTAGAGTTGGTTCTCCTGCGTGATGCCCTTGGACTTGAGCGCCTCGTACACGCGCGGCGACACGATGAGCATCGTGACCTTTTGGAACTTGCCGCCGAAGCGGCACTGCGCGACGTGGAGAATCTTGGCGCCCGTCGCCGCGATCAGCGCGACGACCTCGGGGTGGAGGTTGAGCGCGACGCGGTCTGGGCCGCAGTAGTACCGCTTGAGGAAGGGGTCGGTGTCGTTACCGCGGTCCACCGGGCTGAGGAGGCAGCGGGAAGGAGGGGCGAGATGAGGAGGCCGGAGGGGGGTTGAGATGAGGAGGGTTGCGATGAGGAAGGGAGGGTGCGTGTGGTGGTGGGAGGGGGGGGGGGGGGATGAGCCCGGCGTGGGGGGGGAGGGCGGGGCGTGGTTCCCACTTCTCGATGACGAAGTCGCCGCCGAGCTTGTGGAGGAGCGAGCAGACTGTGCACGTGCGGCGCACCAGCTCGTCGTGCATGGCCACCTGCGGGAAGGTTCCGAGAAGGTTCCGAGAGTGTTCCAGTGCGGCGCACACACTCGGCCTGCATATGCCCGCCTCTGCGCGCTCCTTGGGCGAGAGCCCGCTGCGGTCGACAAGGTTGGCGCGGTTGAGCCGCAGCGGCTTGCAGCAGGCGTAGCGCGGGTCGTCGCTCTTGTTGTGGCGGGCCTCGGAGAAGGACGAGCACGGCGTGCCGAAGAGGATGCCGACGACGCGGCCCTGCTGGACCGCGCGCACGACGGCGAGGAAGAGGTCGTTCTTTAGGTAGTCATGCCCTCGCACAAGGTCGAGCTCGGCGCACGCCAGCTCGGACTGCGCGGCGAAGGCGGCGAAGCCGTCCACGGTCCGGAGGAAGCCGGCGAAGACGTGAGCCAGTGAGTCGCGAGGCAAGGCGTCGAGCTCGCCGATGAGCTTCTGCCTCGCCGCCGCCATCGCGGCTTCGCCTTCGACCTTGAGCCGCGGCTGCGGAGCCGCCGCCTTGGGAGCTGCCGCCGCCGCTGTCGCCTCAGCAGCTGCCGCCGCCGCTGTCGCCTCGGTAGCTTCCGCCGCCTCGCCAGCCGCCTCGCCCGCCGCCTCCTCCGCCGCCGCCGCCACCGCCGCCGCCTCCTCCTCCGCCGCCGCCGCCGCAGCCGCCGCCGCCTCCGCCTCCGCCTCCGCCGCCGCCGCCGCCGCCGCCGCCGCCGCCGCCGCCGCCTGCGCAGCAGCAGCCACCTCCGCAGCAGCCGCCTCGGCAGCAGCCGCCTCGGCAGCAGCCGCCGCCTCGGCAGCAGCCGCCGCCTCGGCAGCAGCCGCCTGCCAGGCATCGTCCGGGTGGAAGTCGGGATCGTCATCGATCAAAACGAGTTTGGGCACCTCGATCGCCTCCCAGGCGTCGTCCGAACGCATCACAGCTAGGGCCTCCAACATGCCCTGGCTGAAGACGACCGTCTGGCTCATGGCTGTTTGTAGCGACCAGCCCTTGAGGGCGGGATGAATAGAAAAGAATTCTTTTCACCCTTGGGGACCCAGACCAGCACACAGCTGCCCAGGCACGACGGCAAGAAACCCAAGGGTGAAAGAATTCTTAAAACCAATAAGCCCTTGAATAGAAAAGAATTCTTAAAATACAATAAGCCCTTGAATAGAAAAGAATTCTTAAAATACAAGCCTCTCTCACAGCACACTGGCACGACAAGGGCGCGGACTGGCGCGGACTGGCACACACACCGGCTCACCTTACGCTCCTCAAGAAAAAGCGGGATGATTGCCCGCCAAAAGAAAGCCAATTCCTGACTTGGGCCCTCGGCCTGCGGGCGGCCTTCTCTCGAGGTCTCGAGATACACAAAGGGCCAAGCGGGATGAGAAAAGAATCACCCATGCCTCAAGCTCGGGCTGGTGGTTCATAAAAGAACTTGAAAGTGACAGTTGAGCCGCGCTCAATCCCTTGTCACGTGCAGCCGACACGCTCGACCCTTGCGGTTCCCGTTCCAGTGGAGTGAAGGCGATGTGCATTACATCGCACATCCGTGCCAACCTCGAGGTTGGGCGCACATGCACCCGCGTCGGACGAGGCCGTCACAAGGAAAACCTTTGAGACGTCCGTCTCGATGCAGAGAGCGCCGGTGGCGTCGAGGGCGAGCTGTGCACGGAGAACATCGGGCAGGGAGGTGCCGTAATCAACTCGCTCCATCGACTGCTTCACTGTGTCGTAAGAGAATCCAGCGAGGTTGGTCACCTCGTGAAAGCTGGCGGGGTTGACGTAGCACGAGCTCCAATCGCTGCCCTGACCGTGCATGCCCGGGCCAATCAGCAGATGATTGATTGCACGACCGCCGCGCATCATGAGCTGCCGTTGCCAGGCCAGCAGCGTGGGCAGCTCATCACTCGTTGGCGAGCGGCCGATGGAGCCCAGCATTGCAGACCGCATGAGCTGTACGAGAAGGTGGTTATCGGGAAGGGCACCCGTCTCGCGCTGCAGCCAATAGATGCCGGCCTCATCCGGCAATGTACTGAGATCCAGATCAAGAGCAACGACCCCATCTGGGGTTGGCAGTGCCATGGCGCTTGGGCTTGTGAGTGCAAGCCTCTTTGATAGCGCGGCCCGAGTCGAGCGCTCGCCGAAGCACCGAAACGTGCGCTGCCGTTCTGTTTTTTTCTAGTATGTAATAAAATTACAGATACGAGATAGCTGCGAGATCACTCGAGATCACTGTGGAGATCACCGCACAGGTAAATCACGGCTACGTCGCTCAGAGGTAGAGGTAAGGGCCCGCGGCTGCCCAGAGGTAAAGGTAAGAGGGTCGCAGGCCCTCAGAGGTAGAGGTAACCTAGACCCCTCCTACCCGGCCCTCCGGGCCGAATTCGCGTTTTTGTGTGTTCCTTTTTCGCATTTCATATCTCACCCCGGGCCCGGCGCATCGGTCGTAAAGCCGTACGAGGTGTCACGCGCTCAGCCGGGCTCGCTTATCCATGCCTCCTCCCACTCCGCCTCTCCCTCCTCCTCCTCCCACTCATCCCACGGCACAATCTGACCGCCACCCGGAGGGTCCCCTGCCGCCTCCGCCTCCGCCTCGGCGCGTGCCGCCTCCGCCCCCGCCGCCCATGCCGTCTCCGCGCCCACCGCGCCCGCCGCGCCCGTCTCGCCCTCCCCTCCCCGCGCCGCCGGCAGGAGGAAGCGGTCGAGCGAGCCCGCCTGTTGCGGGAGCTGCGCGGCGTACTCTGCCGAGAGGACGAGGCGCGTGAGGCGCTGCTCGCTCGCCCGGCTGGCCAAGTCGCCGAGCGAGGCCGACACGAGGGCGCGGGCGGCGGTGGCGGCGTCTCCTCGGCCCGCCAGACACGCCGCGGCAGCCGCCGGCCACGCAAGCCGGTGTGAGCGGAGCGCACCCCCGCCGCCGCCGCCGCCGCCACTCGAGGCTGGGAGCTCCTCCCGCGCGTAGCCGCACCTCCAGCTAAGGACGAGCCGGCGCGGCGGGCGGCCGTCGGCGGCGCAGCGGCGCAGGAGCGTCGCCGCGAGGCCGCGGAGCGTCTCGGCGTGCCGCGCCGCGTCGCTGGTCGGCGGGAAGGAGACCTGCGGGCGGCGAGGTGCGGCGAGGTGCGGCGAGGTGCGGCGAGGTGCGGAGGAGAGGTGGGGAGGTGGGGAGTGGAGGTGGGGAGGTGCGGCGAGCGTCGGGGGAAGAGGGGGGGGGGGGGGTTCGGAAGGGCTCGGGGGGAGCGTCCGGTGGTCAGTGACCTCGGCAGAAATGCTCCTCGCCGGGCCCCGCTCGACAACGCCGCCGTCACAACCGCCCTCGCCGAGCCTGAGCAGCTCCGCCGCCTCCGCCTCGCCGACCAGCCGAGCGAGCTCAGCCCGCCCGACGGAGAGCGCGTCACCGAGGGTGAGGCTCGACGTAGAGTAGGGGCCAAAGCCAGGGCTGCCGCCGTCCACTCCGCCCGCGCCGCCTCCCGTGCCGCCGCCCGCTTGGCGAACCTCCGCGTGGCGAGCCAAGTGTGAGAGCGCCTCGGCGAGGGCGCGACCTCGCTTCTGCTGCAAGCCCGGGATGGTGAGCAGACGGCGCGAGCGAAGAAAGGCGGCAGCGCTCGCATCGGCGACCGCCGCAAGGCCGCCCTTGAGCTCGCCGGCTGGCTTGGCGGCGGCGGAGAGCAGCCGCGCCGCCAGCTTGTTGCGGGCGACGCCCGCCGAAGAGGGGAGCTGCAGCTCGGCGAGGACCGCAGCGCGCATCTCCTGCGCGACGCTGCACGCGGCAGAGAGGTCGGGCGCCAGCTCCTGCGGTTGATGAGGGGCTGATTGGTGTCCGCAAAATCCGTTGCTATCGCAGGTAGGTGTTTCTGGTTGCGGACGCCCTCGGCTGCAGGGAGGCCGGCGCCTGCCCTCCCCCCGATGCAAGCGGAGGTCCGTCGCTGCGCCACACACGCACCCCTGCACCGCCGACACCAACCGCCGCCGCCGCCGCCGCCGCCGCCGCCGCCGCCGCCGCCGCCGCCGCCGCCGTCACGTCCACATAAAAGTCGTCGTAGCTCGTCTTCTCGACACGGCCCCACCGCCGGAGCAACGCGAGCACGGAGGAGGCGACCTGCCTGTACCTCTCGACCCGCATCGGGCGGACGACCAGCTCGGGGGCCCGCCTCCGCGCCTAATCTCGGGCAATCTCGGACAACCTCGGAAATCTCGTCTCGGGTCATCTCGGGTCAGGCCCGCCTCCGCGCCTCGGCGATGCCAATCGAGGCCATCGCGACGAGCGCCGGGATGTTGCGACGGCCACCCTCGCCCACGCCGTCGCCCTTGCGCAGCCCTGCCGCCTTGGCCTCCGCGCTCAGCGCCACGAAGCCGCCCGCGTTCCCCTGCGTCACCGCGAGTGGAACCCCGCGCAGCCGCGGCTCATCGGCAGCTTCGACTGCGCAGTAGAAATTGTCGATGTCGAGGTGCACCACGCACGCAGAGGGAGGCTCAAGGCCACGCGGCAACGAGCAGAGCGGCGGCGAAGACGGCGGCGAAGAGGGCGGCGGCGGAGAGGAGGGCGGCGGCAAGGGGCGGAGTGGCGGCGGCGATGTGGGCGTCGGCCTCTTGCCGAGGAAGGAACGCACCGACGGCGTCCCGGCCGCCGGCAGCGCCGTGAAGCTGTGCGCGGCGAGCGTGAGCTGCGCGATGTTTGTGTTGGGCGGCAGCTCCGTCGCCCACGCCGCCACGCCGCCCGCCACGGCCCGCACAAGCGCCGAGACCTGCTCACGTGCACCGCGGCGTGGTGAGCGAACGCACGGCGACGCAACCTTTGGCGGCGGCGGGCGGGCGCACCCGCGCCGCGTGCGCGCCGTCCCCGCTCTCGAGTCGCGAGACGGCGGCGGAGCGCTCTGCTGCGGTGCGCCCCTCGACCCAGAGCGTCTCTGGTGAGATCATCTCCCGCCGCTCTCCGGCGAGATCGCTCTCCAGATACCTAGAGAGGGGAACGCTCCAGAACGGGTCACCAGAGGCGCAAGAAGGCGTTGCGTCGCGCCGCACGCACCTCGCGCCCGACCGCACCGGCCCGCCCGCCCGCAGCCCCGCCAGTGCAGCGGGGGGGAGTGGGAGAGTCCGGCTGTGGGTTGGCCCCGCGCGGTGGTCCGGGCCAGGCGTGGTGCGGCTGCCGCAGCCCTGCTCACAAACAGGGGCGCGTCAAGAGGGTGGCCGCCCTCGCCCCCGCTGCTGCGGCATCGCCGCCCCGGTATGGCAAGTGCGGTGGGTGTACTGTACTGCAAGCGCGCAAGCGCGGTCAGAATGGTAGTAAGTAAAGGCAAGTGTGGTAGGCGTGGCAAGAGCCGTTGGTAATGCAAGTACGGCAGAGCCTGCCACGACAGAGTCAGCTTGCTCGGCCCTTGGCAATGCTGCAGCGCGATGTGCGACAGCCGCTCCTCGAGGTCGAGGCAGAGCGCGAGCAGGATCCACCGCGCGCGAGAGTCGTTTGTCCGGCAGCGGCCTGTGTGCGGCTCGAACCTCCAACCGCCGACAACCACGCCGCCGCCGCCGCCGCCGCCGCCGCCGCCGCCGCGGCGGCGCACCGCGAGGAGCGAGAGCGGAGTGTGCGCGAGCCAGGAGGTGACAGACGCAGACTTTGGAGGCGCATCGACCACCGCGGCGCTGCTCACCCCGCGGCAAGCGTCGTGGGCGGCAGCGGCGGCGGCGGGGGAGAGGCTGAGGACGGCTTGCAGCCGCGGCACATCGAGGGTCTGGAGCTGCGAGGCGACCTCGATGCCGGCCCTCGCCAGCGCGTCGGCGCGCGAGCCGAGGCCCGGCAGCCTGTGCGCCGCTGTCTGCCGCAGCAACGCCTGCGCCTCCTCGTCGCTGCGGACTGCATACACGCGCCCGCTGGCGCCAGAGCCGCCGCCGGAGGCCTTGGCGGCGGAGGAGGCGAGCTTGGCGAGCAGCTTGTTGGGCGCGACGCCGCAGCAGACCGGCAAGCCGAGCCTCTCCCGCACGGATCGCACCAGCTCCTCCGCGACGCTCTCCGGCCCGTGCCTCTCCTCGACTGAGACGTACCCCTCGTCGATCGAGGCGCGCTCGAGGGTCGAGCCGCACGCCGCGCCGGCGTCGAGGCTCGCCCGGATGCAGGCGAAGAGGTCGCGGGAGGCGTCCTGATACGGCTTGTACCACGTGCGCGGACCCGGCCAGTCCCGCCAGAAGGCGTGCACCAGCCGGCCGCCCGCCGGCGTGAGGACTGCGCGGGCAGCCTCCGGGCTCATGTGCTTGCGCACGCCGAGTGCGCGCGCGGATGCGGAGACACAAATGACGTCGTTGTACTGGAAGAGCGCAATTGGAGGTGTGCCTGGACCCTCGCGAACAGACCGGTCAAATTGGGCGTGGACCGCGAGGAAGAAGCGGTCGACGTCGATGTGGATCACCGCCATGGCGTGCTGATGCTCACTCACTGGGCTGCGTGGAGCGCAACGGAAAAATAAGGACGCAACGGTTTGCTGGCTAGGACCTGACCCGCACACGGCCTGCGGCGACAGGCGGCGACCGCCCCCGTGCGGTTGAACCTTCTTTTCTAGTTGTAAGATTCCCGGCCTCCAGGCACAAGGCTCGCCTCGCAGCAGCCCGAGCAGCAGCCCGAGCAGCAGCCCGAGCAGCAGCCCGAGCAGCAGCCCGAGCAGCAGCCCGAGCAGCAGCCCGAGCAGCAGCCCGAGCAGCAGCCCGAGCAGCAGCCCGAGCAGCAGCCCTCACGGCAGCCCTCACAGCAGCAGCAGCCCGAGCAGGGGCCCTCGCAGCAGCCCTCGCAGCAGCCCGAGCAGCAGCCCGAGCAGCAGCCCGAGCAGCAGCCCGAGCAGCAGCCCGAGCAGCAGCCCGAGCAGCACCTCCCTCGGTTCGCTCTTCCACTTCAGGGCCGGCGGCGCTCAACAACGCAGTGCGCGCCGGAGCCAGCCTAAGTCGGACGCGCCATCGCGAGAGATTGGGCGGACTAGCCGAAGGATCGCCGATAAGGCCGCCAAGGCAGAGGCGGAGAGGGTGCAGAAAGAGGCGGCGGCGGCGAAGGCGGCGAAGGCGGCGAAGGCGGCGGCGGCGGCGAAGGCAGACGCCCAGCGCCGCGGTGATGGGCGGTCGCGGGAGCGAGCTCGGCGACGATCACGATCACGGCAGGCGAGGTCGCGCTCGGCGCAGGGAGAGGAGACTGCGTCTTCCCGCGAGCCAAGCTGCGCGCCCCGTGCGCCCTCCCCCCCCCCGCCCGAGGAGGCGCCCCCGCCCGTCTCGAAGCCGACCCCGCCCGATTCGGAGGCGGTCGCATCGCCGTCGGAGCCGAGCGGCACGGCTGCCTCGCCATCGCCCTCGCAGCCATCGCCCTCGCAGCCAGAGGCCCGCCCACAACGCAAGAGGGAGCCGCGCCATCCGCCCTCCGCGCGGGAGGACCGCCGCCGAAAGCACGACGACGACGCGGGCGAGATGCCCGTCGACACCGCGGTCGACACCGCGGGTGGTGGCGCCGTCGCCGCGGAGGACGGCGGCGGCGGCGAGAGCGGCGTGGCGGCGGCGGGCGACCACAGCGTCACCGCAGGCCCTCGGGCTGAGAAGCCCCGCTTCCAGAAGGACGAGCATGTCGTCTACGCGAGTGAACACCCGGATGCGGACGCCGTCGTGCTTCGGACACACACCGGTGTGTATGCCTTGCTCTCGAGGTTCTCGAGGTGGATATCCTTTGGCCGCGTTGGGTAGCGAGGATTGGTGTGACGCGATCCACGCAGGCGTGGTTTCTGACGGCCGACCGTCAGTGCACGGAGTTGCCCCTTCTCCGACTGCCCCGGCTAGTTCCCGAGGTCGCGCGGGGCTGACCCCTGCGTCCCCCGAGACCTAGCGCGGGTGGGTTGGAGGGGGCTCGCTGCAAGGAAGGGCGGTGTAAGAGGCCGATCCCCGCAGTCCGCCCCGTTCCTCCCCACGGCCACGGGGCCGGTCGAGCAGCGTGGCCAGCATCTCTGCGCGCCACCGCGCCCGCGCCGCGGTACCCCACATTCCCCCTGCGGGGGGTCGGACCCCCCCCCTAGCATGTGGTGGGCACCCCCCAGCCGTTCGTGGGCTAGGAATAGCCGCGAGAGCCGATTTTGGCGGGTGGAGCCGTCGGACGAGAGCGCGTGTCCTCTCCGACGAGAGGACGCGCGCGTGAGCCTTTGAGCCGGTTTGAGCGACTCACCTCTCACGCCGACTGACCAGGTCCCCGTTTTGCCATTTAGCCATTTTTACGAACGTCACATGTCTAAAGATGCACACCGCGTACACCATGCGCGGGTGGGGGGTGCCCCTCTGGCTCTGCCTGTGTACCCTGTTTCGCTCCCATCTCGGGTGCCTCTGTCTGAGCCTGTTTCTCCCATCTCCGCCACTCCGCGCACACGCACTCCGCCTCAACGCGCTCAGCGGAAAGCCTCCAGGCCAGCCGGCGCGATGTTCTCCGGCTTTAGCGCGAGCACGCCCCAGTCCGTCCGGACTGGCCAGCGCCCGCTCGCGGTCGGGAACATGTCGCGGATAGTGCCCGTCGTGCCGTTGAGGTGCGCGTGGGCAGCGCTCCTGACTCCAGAGATCAGGACCGTGGTGCCACCGAGCCAACGGGCCGGCTGGCGACTCGACCTAAGAAGGGAAACAGCGATGAGTCAAAGGAAGGCACAAAATCTCAGGACAAGGTCTGGCCGGCGGGCTCGACATGTAGAGCGCGTCCGAGAGCTGGCTAGCCGCCTGCATCGACCCATGGCCGGGGGAGCAATACCACAGCGCCCGGTCGTCGCGCCGCAGCGCTTGCGGCATGATGCGGTCCCGCCACGCGTCGAGCAGCGCGACGGCGGAGAAGTGCGGCGCACGAGCGACGCACGCCGGGTCCAGCGCCGCCACCGCGGGCCGGTGCTGTTGCAGCGCGTCGCGCACGCTCAGCTTGCCGCGGGCGATCGCGTCGGTCAGCGCGTCCACCTCCGCCTATCCACACGCTGCACTGTGAAGAGGCGCTGTTCACAGCAAGAGCCCGCCAGTGTCCACCTCTGCCTCGCGCAGCACGCCCAGCTCGACGGCGCGCTCGCCTAGCGGAGCGTTCCGAGAAGGCTCACTCGACAGCTCGCAGCACGCCCCGGCTCGGGTCGACAGCACGCTCGCCAATGATCGCATCGAATGCGCGCTCCTCGGCGAGCGCCTCGAGGGCGCGGGCTGCCAAGTGGCCGAGCCAGGCGAGGTCGCAGGCGCGGGCTCGCATCTGGGGCGGGAAGAGGGCGTGCGACCTGTCCCCGAGAAGGAGGGCCGTGGAAGAGGCGCCGTTCACACCCACAGCCGGCGGGAAGAGGCAAGTGCGACCTCGGCGACCACTCGCACGCCTAGCGCGGGCGGTTGCTGTGGAGCGACGCTGTTCACGTGTTGTGCTGTGGACAGGCCACCGCTCTCGCGCCTCGACGAGCAGCGCCGCGGCCGCGGTGACGTGCGCCTCCTCCACCCGCCCCTCGACCGCGCTGCGCCTGCCCGGCTCCGACCAGCTGTCGGCTTGCGACGGCCACAGCGCGCCGACGCGCTTGCCCGCAAGCCACGCGCGCGCGTCGGCCATCGGCGTCGCGTGGCAGTCGCGGCGCGCGTCCCTCCAGCGCCGCGGGAGCTCGAGGGTGGCAAACACGTCTGCGCCTGTGGAAGGGGTCCGAGGAGGTGCGGGGAGGGCTCCTGGCACTCGCACTCGCCGGCCACGTCTCCGCGCCGTCGCGCAGCAGGGCGCGGGTGCGGGCGAGTGGCGCCACAAGCCAGAAGGGCAGCGGCGAGACCCAGTCAGACGTGTCGAGCATGAAGTCGCGCATGCCACAGTCGACCAACTCGGCCACAGAGGCGAGCTGGTCGACCTCGATCGTCTCGAGTTCGCCACCGGACAGCGCCTGTTGTACATGTTGGTGTTTGCATGTGCATGTGCAGTGTGCATGTGCATGTGCATGCACATGTGCATGCACGTGTATGTGCATGTGCATGTGCATGTGCATGTTGTGCGCGCGTGTCCCGCACCTCCGGGACTCTGTGAGCCGTGTGGCGCCGGGCGCCATAGCACTCGAGGAGCAGCGCGCACTTCTCCAGGCCGGTGGAGCAGGCGCTGGACAGCGCCGTGTGGCCGCTCGCCGCGGAGGCGGTGTCGGGGTTGGCCCTCGCCTCGAGGAGGAGCGCGAGGACCTACACACCACCACCGACACACGGTCAAAGAACGCAGAGAGCCTGACCCCTCACCTCCAGGGGGCGAGGGCCTGGTGGCCCTTCTCATCGGCCGCGGCGCCTTCTCCTTCGGCGTGCACGGGCGCCGCAACAGCGTGCATCACCGCGCATGTGGTGTTGCCGGCCGGCTGAGGGTCGATGCAGTGGTCGAGGTCGGCACGCGCCTCGATGAGCACGCGCACACAGCCGACATGGCTGTCCTGCACGGCCAGCAGCAGCGGCGTCCAGCCGCCCGCCTTGACCTGGTTCGGGTCCGCGCCCGCGGCGACGAGCGCTCTCGCGCAGCTCTCGTGCCCTTCCTTGCAGGCGATGTACAGAGGGTGGGCTCCGTTTTGCCGAGAGTACGCGACGTCTGCGCCATGCTTCAGCATCTGCTCGAGCAGCCAGAGCCAGCCGGCCAGGGCAGCTTCGTAGAGCGCCTCGCTGACGGAGAGCGGCGAGATGGCCTTCTCGACGTCGGCCTTCAGGCTGTCGGAGGCGAGTCCCAGCAACTGGGCGATCGCTGTCCGCTGGTCGTGGACCACTTGCTGGGACCTCCCACCGTTGGCCGCTTGCGGGGATCTCCCGGAGACCAGGTGCTCATTCAACGCGTTTGCAGTGGTGATCAGGTTGCTGAGTATCGTGTCTCCGTTGCTCAGAGTGGTGTCCGCACCGCTCGCGACCAGAAGAGCCGCGACTTCCGACTGAGCGCCCTGGCACGCCTGCAACAGCGCGTTCCCTACGCCGTTCGGCCCGCACGGCAAGTTGACAGTTGCGCCGCGATCGATCAGCAGGCGAACAATCTCGATGGCGCCGTCCTGCGCTGCGAAACCAAGCGCATGGCAGGCGTAGTCGGTCATATTGGTGTCTGGGCTGATGCCGCTGTCGAGGCAGACCCGTGCGGCGGCGACGTCCTGCGCCAAGATCGCCTTTTGCAGCTCCGCTCTGTTGATGAAGCGCGATCTGGGTGTGGCGCCCGCGGCGCCCGCTCTGTTTGACCTCTGCTTGACCATGGTGCACCGCTCAAAGAATTTGTTGCGGCGCACTATCACAGTGTCAGGCTGTGTCGGTACAACTTTACCTGTAGCCCCGGCGGCAAAAAGAATTTAAACGGCGGAACAAAGAATTTCAGGATAAGAATTTTACAAGCACTCCCTCGCACGACACTAGGCACGGGACTGGCGCGCACTGGCACTAACACAGGTACACCACGGGAGCCGCCTAAGCGACTCCCGCGAGGACGGCGAGGCACTTAGCTCCGTGCACTCGACCGCCCTCGCCACAGGCAAGCTCATTCACAATCTGCTCTGCGATTGCCGTGTGAAGAACGACTGAGATGCGCTGCTTCTGCAGCCCCAGCCAGCTCTTGGTGGTCCAAGTCACCTCCTGGTCACCTCATCGAGGTACTGGGCCCGCGTCAGCTTGTTCTGCAGCGCGTTCGCCGCCTTCCAGAGGAAGGATGACGAAGATGATGAGGCCGTTGTCGCGTTGCAAGCGGGGCGGAGAGTATCGAAAAAAGAAGTGACCGTGTCCGTTGTGCCAGCGCAGCCTGGCGCAGACGCCAAGCCGCACAGGGGCGCGGCCAATGCCGCAGCCTCCCCGCTGCCCGTTTCGGGCTCCTCCTCCTTCGCCGCCTCAGCCACCTCCGCCGCTGCCTCCGCCGCCGCGCGAGCCGCCGCAGCCGCATCCTCCGCCGCATACCTACTCGCGCGAGCCGCCGCGCAGACTTCCGCCCAGGAGCGCACGTCCCGGCAGGAGCGCACGTCCCGGACATCGCCACCAGCCCGGCAGCGACACGCCTCGATGTTCTCATACGCCCGCACCGCCGCCATCGCCGAAGCCAGCAGCCGAATTGCTGGAGAAGGTTGGGTTCATCGTATCCGGCGGGCCAGATTGTGGCGTATCCGCGGGCGCATATCACGCCGGGAGGCCCGACACTCAACGGGTCAGGAGGCCGGTAGGCCAGGATGAAGGCCGCTGATGAAGATGGTGAAGCCGTTGTCGCGTTGCAAGCGGGGCGGAGAGTGTCGAAAAAAGAAGTGACCCTGTCCGTTGTGCCAGCGCAATCTGGCGCAGACGCCAGGCCGCGCAGGGGCGCGGCCAATGCCGCAGCCTCCCCGCTGCCCGTTTCGGGCTCCTCCTCCTTGTGATCTAACAGCTGAGTAATGCCGCGCCGATTCCCGAGCTGGGTCGAGATGAAAAAAATTAATTTGCAAAAGTCAATTGCGGCCGTCCCCGTGACTACGTCAAGGCCGCCAAGTAGCTTACCGTTGGCGTACAGCTGAGGGTATGTTGGCCACTTGCTGTATTCTTTGAGGCCCTTCCTGTGCGGCGCGGCGTCTTGGATGAGTGCCGTGCGTTATCTGGCTCATCTGGTTGTGTTTCGCCACATTTTGCTCACCGAACCTCCTCGTTCTCCAATATGTCGAACGACGAGTAATCGACCTAAGCAAAGGGGGAAGGACAAATGCGGTCTTTCTGGCCAGCGCGGCGCTGTCCGTGTGCGTCTGCTCTCCTTCGCAGCTTGAAGGATCTCGCAGATTTGGCGCGAGAAGCCGCACCTACATTGGGCGTCAAGCTAGAACCTGGGAGTTGGAGGAGAGTTCGGGAAGGGGGGGGGGAGGGGCGGGGCGGGGGGGGGGGGGGGCGCCGTGGAGATTTGGGCGATCCCTTCATAAACAGCATGATGGGCGCCTAGAGGAGGAGCACCAACCTCCTTTTGGCCGACCCTCAACCTCGCGCGAGCGAATGAGGAGGCGCGGCACACGTGCGATATTAGATCGCGCAATTGCTCATGGCTGATGGGCGTATTGCACTCGCTCGCCACAGGGTCGAGCTGGGCTGTGGCTAGCCGCCCAGCCTCGCTCTTGAGCTCCTCGATGCCACCAACCCAGCCACGAGCGTAAATCTGCGGCAGCAAAGTGTTGCGGCTCAAGGCAGCCACAACTTCACGTGCGCCCGTGTTGCATCGTTCGTCCGAACAATCGACCGCCTTGTAACACACTCCAGCATCCTGTAGGACACGGACAGCTTCGGCAGATGCTGGGTCATTGGGGGCGAGAATGGTGCCATCAATGAAAAGCACGACCGGGAAGTCCCCGAGCAGGCCGAGGAGCAAGCTTTCGATGGGCACTGTGAGCGCCTTCCCATTGCCCTTAGTGAGCGGCAGCATGCCCGTGCCCTCAAGAGGCCGGCTCGGCCGCCTCACCATAACTGTCAGCGGTGCGTGTGTCTCGCGGGGCCTCGGCGATGCAGTAGTCGAGGCCGTGCTTCCCGGAGGGGAAGCCATACGCGATAGCGGTCACGCCGTAGCTCGCGCATAGGAGCAGGAGGCTAGGCAGAGGCCGCATCGCGTTCGCTGAGCTGTAACAAGTTTGACCCAAAACAAGAACACAAGTTTGGCTCTACTAATATAGCGCGCGGATAAAGCGCGCGCGCCGCGGTGGCGGCGAAATATAGTATTATCTCAGAGGAATATAGTGTGAATGCCCGGGAACACGGGAGTAGGTAGGTAGGTAGAAAGGTGAAGAACAGCCAGGCTCGGACTGGACACCAACGCGGTATGGGTGGACGCTAGACAGATGATGACGACACGCACGAGCGACACACAGACACAAACGGGAGTCGCTTAGGCGGCTCCAGTGGTGTATGTACCTGTGTTAGTGCCAGTGCGCGCCAGTCCCGTGCCCAGTGTTGTGCGAGGGAGTTTTGTTGTAAAATTCTTTTATGGGTGTACCTGTGTTAGTGCCAGTGCGAGCCAGTCCCGTGCCCAGTGTTGTGCGAGGGAGCTTTTGCGTAAAATTCTTTTATTGACGTGCCTTTTCCTCGAAAATTCTCCGCAACAGCCCCGGCGATGCTCTGCCTCACGTGCCTGGGCACCGTGGGTGTCACTGTGTCCGCGCTCGCCCGCTCGTCGGCCGCCCTGCTTCGCGGCGGCAGGCGCAGCCTCGGCGTGAAGGCGCTGGTCAACGAGAATCCGCTGCTTTTGCAGGAGAGCCTTCCGCTCTTCAGCGCCATCGAGGCGGTGCACGTGAAGGACGCGGTGTCGGGCGCGCTCTCGTCGATGGAGAGCGAGTTCGAGTCGCTCGAATCGCGTTTGCAGCAGAGCGGCGATGTCTCGTACTCAGCGGTTATTGAGGAGCTGGAGAAGCTCGAGGCGCCGGTCGAGTACTCGTGGGGTGTGGTGAACCACCTGATGGGCGTGAAGAACAGCGACGAGCTGCGCGCGGCGCACGGCGAGGTGCAGGGCGAGGTCGTCAAGACGACCACCAAGCTGTCTCAGTCAGAGGCGGTCTTCAAGGCGCTCGAGGCGCTCGAGAATGACGGCTCGCTCGAGCCGGCGCAGCAGCGGATCGTGCAGAGCTCGCTGTCGTCGATGCGCCTCTCGGGCGTCGGCCTGCAGGGCGAGGAGAAGGAGCGCTTCAACGCCAACCGCATCCGGCTCTCCGAGCTCTCCACCGCCTTCTCCAACAACCTGCTCGACGCGACCAAGGCCTTCTCCCTCACCCTCACCGAGCCGGCGCAGGTGGACGGGCTGCCGCCGTCGGCGCTCGCGCTCGCCGCGTCGCGCGCGGCGGAGGAGGGGGAGGAGGGCGCGACGGCGGAGAGCGGGCCGTGGCGGCTCGGGCTCGACATGCCGTCCTACTTGCCTGCGATGAAGTTCCTGCGCGACCGATCGGTGCGCGAGGCGCTGTACCGCGCCTTTGTGACCCGCGCGGGCGAGGTGAACGCGCCGCTCATCCGGCAGATTCTGCAGATCAAGCAGGAGCAGGCGTCCATCCTCGGCTTCGGCAGCTACGCCGAGGTGAGCATCGAGCGCAAGATGGCGCCGTCGGTCGAGGCCGTCTACGACCTCACAGAGATGCTTCTCGCCAAGGCCTATCCCGCCGCGCAAAAGGAGCTGCAGCAGCTGACCGAGTTTGCAACCGCAAACGGCTTCGACGGCGCGGCGCTCGCGCTGTGGGACGTCTCCTTCTGGTCGGAGCGCCTCTCGGAGCACACCTTTGGCTTCGAGCAGGATCGCCCCCTTGCCCCACCACCTCGTGTGTGTGGAGAAGTTTACCTTACCTTACCTCACCTTCGAGCAGGAGGAGCTGCGGCCGTACTTTGCGCTGGACAACGTCCTCGACGGCCTGTTCGGGCTCTGCAGGCGGCTGTACGGCGTCGAGATTGTCCGCTCCGACGGCGAGGCGGAGGTGTGGCACGCGGATGTCGGCTTCTTCAAGGTGCTCGACGAGGCGAGCGGTGAGCACCTCGCCTCCTTCTTCCTCGACCCGTACGCGCGGCCAGAGAACAAGCGCGGCGGCGCGTGGATGGGCGTCTGTGTCGGCAGGTCAAAGGTGCTCGACCGCAAGCCGGTGGCGTACCTGACGTGCAACGGCTCGCCGCCGGTGGACGGCAAGCCGTCGCTCATGACCTTCGACGAAGTCACGACGCTCTTCCACGAGACGGGTCACGGGCTGCAGCACATGCTGACCAAGGTGGCGCACGCGCCGGCGGCCGGCATCTCCGGCGTCGAGTGGGACGCCGTCGAGCTGCCGTCGCAGTTCATGGAGAACTGGTGCTATGATCCGGCGACCGTGTACGATGCGGGCATGGCGAAGCACTATGAAACGGGCGAGCCTCTGCCGCGGGATCTCTTCGGCAAGCTCTGTGAGCAGAGGACGTTCCAGGCGGGCATGGGCATGATCCGCCAGCTCATGTTTGGAGCGCTCGACATGCGCCTCCACCACACGTACGACCCGCGCGGCGAGCAGACGCCGTTCGAGCTCCAGCACGAGCTCGCCGAGCGCTACGCGGTCCTGCCGCCGCTGCCCGACGACCGCTTCCTCTGCTCGTTTGGCCACATCTTCGCGGGCGGGTACAGCGCGGGCTACTACTCGTACAAGTGGGCCGAGGTGCTCTCCGCCGACGCTTTCGCCGCCTTCGAGGAGGCCGGCCTCGACGACGAGCAAGCGGTGCGCGAAGTCGGCCGCCGCTTCCGCGACACGGTGCTCGCGCTCGGCGGAGGCACCGCCCCATCGGACGTCTTCCGCGCCTTCCGCGGCCGCGACCCGAGCCCCGAGCCGCTGTTGCGCCACTCTGGCCTCGCGTGAGTAAGACGTTGGCGAGGAGCAGATCGTGCTGGAGCGAGCGCGGCCGTTGTGTCTCGCCGCGCTCGCTGGTCGTTGGCGCGTCCCCTCTCGTTTTTCGCGGTCAGTCAGGGTTCGAGTATATTTGTTGTGATTTTGGTTATTGATTGACTTCCATATCCTGTACAACGACACACTTACACGGGGGGGCGGCGCGTCAAACCGTCGCGCCGTGACCCGTGTGGCCGCTGGCCGCTACGCCGGCTCTAAGTGTGTGCTCAGTCCTCAGAACGTGCCCGCTCCGCCAGCAGGTTCCTCCTCCTCGTCGTCCTCCGTCGGCAGCAGAGATCTCTCGGTCGCGCCCTTCAGCAGACCTTGCTGCGAGGCAATTTCACGTGAGCGCTCCAGCTCCATGCGCGTGTCAAATACCGAGCGTCGGCGTGGAGCCGACCCAGCGCCGCGCACCTCTTCCTGAGGGTGTGGAGCCACGAAGCCCTGCAGCACCGACGGTCGAGGCGCGACAGCAGGCGCCTCCTCGTCTTCACGCTGGTTCTGGGCCGTCCCGAGCCCGACCAGAGCGCTAGCCTCCTCCCAGAGGTCGGATGCCGCCTCATCAATTTTCCGGAGGTGGTCGCAGAGGGTGTCTGGCCGGCAGGAGTCAGCAGTGGCGGCAACGGCAGCGGTGGGGCCCCTCGCCGCTTCCCGTCCAACCAGCTCGAAGATAGCTTGCACAGGAGCGCACAGCTCCCGCAGGAGTGCCGCCTGCGCCTCCACGGAAACCTCAGCCGCGCGTGCCTGCTGCGTCTGGCGGTTCGTCCGCTCCTGCGACTGAGAAGCCGCTAGGTCGTGCTTCCGCTGCTGCTGCGCGAGCTCCGCCGCCCGCGTCTCGCACTGGACGATCTCCGTCTCGAGGCTCAGCCTCTGCCGACTCTGCCGCTCGAGGAAGTTGAGAGCTGAAGCGTGGCGGCTCTCTGTCTCCCGAACCACCCGCAAGATCTCGCCCACCGCGTGCCTGCACGGCCCAGCCGCAGGTCCAGCGGGATCGAGTCCGAGCGTCCGCTGCACGCGCTGAAACTCCGCTTCCATGGCGTGGACCTGGTTCTGCAAATGGCCCATCCGCAGGTCCAGCGACTGGCTCACGTGGCGCTTCTGCCGCAGCGCGCGATAGGTCATCTGCTTCCCCAGCTGCTCTGCCGAGTCCTCCGCGTCGTGCGCACTCCGCAGGGCAGCCTCTAGTCCGCGGATGTCGAGCTCGAGCTTGGCGAGCTTATTCTCCTTGTCGGCCGACTCTTGACGGTGTTCGAAGCCGGTTCGCTTGAGCCGCGCCTCCACCTTCTCCTTCTCGTCGAGGGAGCAGTTTGCGAGCGCCACGAGCTGCTTCATGTCTGCCGCCATTGCTCGCTCTCGCTCCGCGAGGCGCGACATCTGACGCAAAAAGTCGGAACGCGCCTTCCGCAACGTATCAATCATGCTTGCCAGCCCACGGTTGAGTCTCTCGGCGTCGGACACGCGCGACATGGCCACCTCCACCACCCGGGAGAGCCGGTTGAGCTCCTTGTTTAGCCGGTGCTCGCGCCGCGCGCTGCTGATGATGCCGTCACTGTCGGCGCAGCTCTCGAGGCTGCGCGCTTGTTGCTCCGAGAGCTGCGTTTCGCGGTGCTCGAGCATCTGGGCCTGCAGCTGCTGCTCGCTGAGAGCGTCGCGATACGAGAAGAGCTGACGCTCGAGATCGGCCGCCTTGCCGCTTGCGGTCGCCGTCGCAGCGAGCGAGGTCTGGGTCTGAGAGAGTGCGGTGCGCTCCGAGGTCGTCGAGCGGGCGGTCGCCAGGAAGGCGGACTCTTCGGACGCCGCAGCCGCGCATGCCTGCCCGGCCCTCGCAGCCCGCGGAGATTCAGAGGTGGTGCGCCGCTGCGCCCGCTTCAGCACCTCCTCCTTCCAGGTCGGCACTGCGCCCCCGCCGTGCAAATCCCCCATGACGCCGTTGAGGTACGTCTTTTGCTTGCGCGGGCTGCGCGGGCTGCGCGGGCTGCGCGGGCTGCGCGGGCTGCGCGGAGTGCGTGGGCTGTGTGATCCCACCCGCTGAACCGAGTCCGGGGTGCCTGCTTGGAAGCGGGAAGTGGCTTCCAAAGGCTGGGTTGCCTTTGCGGGCGGCAGGCTTTGCTGAGGCGCGGCCGCCTTGCGCGGCGAGTCCTTACGATGGGGCGAGCCGGGCTCCACAGAGACGCGCTCTTTGGCGGATCTGAGCTCGTGCAGGGCCTGGAGGATGATCGTCTGGTCGGCCGGCTTCACCTTCCAGTCTGCCAGATCCTCCCTTCCGAGGGAGAGCACGCCCATGCCATCCACGGCGTGGATGAGGAATGCAGGAGAGTAGTCCTCGCTCGTCCCGAGCGAGTGCGCCCACTCGGCCACGTCGTGCGCGGTCCATTCGAATGACGCGACGGGCTGGGCGGCGCTTCCACCCCTGGGCGGGGAGATGGGCGGCAACATATGTGCATAGTGCCGATTGGTCGCCCACAGAAATCGTTACATCTTGTTTGGAAAATTCTTTGGATCCCGCCCGCCAGACACACCGCCCGCGCGCCTGCTCCCCGCCATCCTGCCTCTGCGAGTCCGACCCAACTTTTCTTTTTGTATTTCTTCAGCAAAATTCTTATATACCTACCTACCTACCTACCTCTTATTGCCGCAGCCAGGGAGGAGCAGCGTGAGCAAGACCCGAGCCTGCGCCAGGTTCACAGCCTTGTTATTGACAAGAAAATACGTCCTCTGGCGCTGTGCGCTGGTCTGTGAGAGGTTGAGGTGCGAGCCCTGGACGCCCTGGGGATGGTGGGAAACTGTGAATACCAGGCACCTTGCTTGCCCTTGCCTTCCGCTGGCAGCTCGCGCTGTGCCCTCCCAAATTTGAGGTCCTGGCCAGATCGATCGCAAGTCCGTGGCGTATGAGCGCCATGTCCGCCACCGACCCTGAGCGGTGGCTCCTCGCCAACCTTACCGACGCGGATGCGGCGGCACAGGTCGACCTCACTGCATCGATGATCTTGATCGTGGTGATCGCAGGTCTGCCTCTGCAAATCTGCCTCCTCCACTGCCTGTGGATTACGCAGCGGCGGCGGCGGCGCGGATCGGGAGACACGTTGCCGCAACGCCGGACGAGCCGAGCAGACGAGGGGCAGCGCCGGACGACCCGATCGGACGAGGGGCAGCTGCTGGCTCGGCTCTCCAAGGCGCGTCGCGTGGATGCACAGGTCCGAGTGCGCGTCACCTTTGGCACGATGGCAGTGGCGTGGGCGTGCGAGATTGTGGCGTGGGGACCGCTGACAGTCTCTTGGGCGACGGGCGTGAGCGAGGCAGACTTTTACGCCCTCTCGCGCATCCCGCTGCCGCTCTATGGCATCCCCGCCGCGCTCGGCCCTGCGCTTGTCCTCCTCGCGTGCCGGCCGCTGGACCACATTGGCGTGCGGCTCGCCGGCGCATTCTGCTGCGCCAGCTACCTGTACTACGTGCGGCCGCACCACACGCATATGACCGTCCTCTCGGGCCCAACCCACTTTCGCGTCTCACGCCGCAAGCACGCCACCGCACCTCCCCACCCCTCCCGCGCAGTTCATCATCGATATCCTCGACTGCATCGAGAGCGACTGGCCCGCCGCCGCCGCGTCGGGCTGGGCGCCGCTCGAGACGGTGCTGCTCTCGCTGCAGCTCTTCGGCATCTTCTTCGCCTCGCTCGGCTCGGCGATCGGCTTCTTCGCCGCGTCTCTCTCCCGCGCGACCCGCGACGCGCTGCGCCGGCAGTGGGTGGTGTTGCGCACGAGCTACGCCCTCGGCGCCGCCTCGTGGGGCACGCAGCGGGCCACGACATGTCGCTGACGCCTCCTGGCCCTGTCTCACAGGCGCCGCCTCGTGGGGCACGCAGTATCTCGTGCTTCTCGCCGTCGGGCGGCCAGTCTCGCCCTACCTCGCCCTCTCGTGCTACTGCGACGGCTTCGGGACGCTGCTCTTCACGCTCTTCTTCACCGAGCGCGTGCGCGGACGCATACACCGCTCGCTTGGGCTCGGGTGGAACGGGAAGCCCGAGACGTGCCGCTCCCTCGCCGCCGTCGCCTCTCTGATCGGGAGCGGCGCCGCGACGTCGGTGATCGAGCGCCGGTGCCGCGACGCGATCTCCTCCTTCCGCGGCGTGCCGTGGACGAGCCTCACGGCCGGCGACTTGGCGGCGGAGTGGGACGGTGAGCTCGAGGCGCGACGGCAGGAGGACCACACGGTGCCAGCGGCGCTGGGCGAGGTGGACGCATTCCTCTCGCACTCCTGGTCCGACGACGGGCGAGAAAAGTACGAGGCGCTGTGCGGCTGGGCCGACGCGTTCGAGGCGGCGTACGGGCGGCCGCCGCTGCTGTGGCTGGACCGCTGCTGCATTCGGCAGGATGACGACATCGCGGCAAGCCTCCTCGGGCTGCCAATCTTCCTCTCCGGATGCCGGTGCCACACGCCCGCTCAATCCCACACTTCTCCCCGCCTCGCACCCGCCCGCCGCCTCGCACCCACCGCACGGCCCTCCCCCGTCGCAGCTCGCTGCTCGTCCTCTACGGCCCGTCCTACTGCGGCCGGCTGTGGCGCCCGCCCCTACTGTCCGCACTGGCGAGAGAGGAGGCGTCGAGCTTGCCTCACCTTCTCCGTGCCTCACCAAGGTGTGTGATGGAGGTCTTCTGCTTCCTCGCGATGGGCGGCAAGCCTGACGACATCCACGTGCTGCTGCTCCCGAGCTCGAGCGGCACGAGCGTCGGCAGCTGCTACAGCGTCGGGAGCACACGCGAGCCTCCGCGAGAAGGACCAGATCCTTGCCAGCAGGAGCCCGTCGCCGCGGCCGAGCAGTTGGGCGGCAGGGAGCGGTGGAGGTCCGTGCGGTCCCTCCTCCCCGATCGGAGAGAGCACGAGAGCAGATGCAAGAGCGACGCGCTCGGCAAGGGGAAGGGCGAGGCGTCGCTGAAGCGGGGCTTTGCCAAATTCCGGCTCAGCCAAGCCGACTGCTCCCTTCCGGGCGACCGCACACGCATGCTGGCGGCGCTCGAGTCTGCCTTTGGCGACGCTGCGCCCTTCAACCGGATCGTGCGCTCGCTCCTGCACGGCAGCTCGCATCGCTACGTCAGCTACACCAACCGCTCCGGCCGCTCCTGCGCCGAGCCGTCCTCGAA